AACAACTGAACGACTAGGCCGTTCGTTTTGCACTACTGATAAGGGAAAACCACGCTGGAAAATTCCGGGGAACCTTCTTGTTAGTGAGCCAACGACCTACTGACTGATCAACCGTGGCCCACGAACTAAAGACAGTTTGTTCAAGTTTGTTCGTAGGTTTTATTTTAACGCTGGTTTGGTTCCATAGACAGCATTGACATTTATTTGTTTCGTGCAAATATGCTTACCGAAGTCTATTGTCCAATTTGCAACAGAATCTTAAATCTTAAAATATTTTCATCTGTAGGGTTCTTGTCTCGATCAGAATCAGTAAGATTCATTTAGGCCAATATACGTCATTAACGTCCATCTGTGAATTTTGCCTAGTCGATTCTTGCAGGATTTCGGAAACGGCGGTAATTCGTCAGCTTTTTTCACTGTTGGAATTCTGTCCACAGGATATCCATTAATCAAAGACTTGTTCTTTTTCTAAATGGAATGTTTCCGTCAATCAGGGTTAAAATAATTGATTTGTCTTTGGACCAGTCGATGCTTTGAATAATAAAAGGGTTTGTTTAATTAAAAACAGGTGATTGCTAACATCAACAACATCGAAAAAAGGAAGGAATGTGAAAAAGCGATTCTCATTATTTTTCCATTTGCAGTCATTGATTTACAATATGTTCACACAAGCATTGTGCGCGTTTCAGCAATGAGAGCGATTTAAAACTCGACAGATCTCAGTTCGTTCTTATCTGTGATATCAGGTTGGTGGAAGCGGACGTAAAATAAAGCTATTTCACACAGTCGGTTCGTTCTTCACCAAACTTCAAAGACTTGTCTGGTGACTAATAGGGCTGCAGACAGAATTTCTAGCGCGAAGTTCCTTTACATGGACCTCGAAGCTAAACAAACTATACATTTTTAGAAAGCTTATAACACCGGAATACTAAGTCCGAGAGTTCCAAGAAAAATAGCTTGATTTAGGGCCTGATGAAAATCGTCATGATTGTCAAGTAAATGCTATATTTATACTAACGATTCAAACGTTGACATACAATTAAATATTGGTGAAAACACCTGATGCCTTCATCCTTGGCAAAGAATAGTGTATTGGTTAAGGTTTGAATTAAAGAAAAATACCCCAAAACATAAATGCTAAGGCTGAACAAGGAATGTTGGAAGTCCATTAACGGTAAAAAAATTATTAATATAACTCTAGCATTTACTCGACAATTGTGACGATTTTGATCAGGCCCTAAATCGAGTTATTGCAAACATTTTTCTTGGAACTCTCGGATCTGTTCATTAACGGTAAAAAAAATTATTAATATAACTCTAGCATTTACTCGACAATTGTGACGATTTTGATCAGGCCCTAAATCGAGTTATTGCAAACATTTTTCTTGGAACTCTCGGATCTGTGTTCCTGGTGTTATAAGATTTCCCAAAAAGTATAGTTTGGTTAGCTTCGAGGACCTTGTAGCGGAATTGTGTTTCTAAGCAAGCTAAAAAGTTTGACTACAGGCCCTTAATGGTAAATTGCCGTATATGAGGTTTCAGCGCCTGTTGCGTATGACGATAAGATCGAACATTATGCATTATTTAAGAGTATATCTAGTAAATTAGCTATTTAATTCTCATGCGTAACCACGGTCTCTTTTTTCTTCAATATCTTTTTTCTTTTGAAACAGAGAATGTTTGTTGCCTAATGGTTTTTGGCTAATGATATTTACGTCCGGCTAAACAATATCTTCAGTGAACTGTTATCACGGCGAAATGTAACGAAATCGTGCAATTCTATGTTTCGGTATAATACAAATTGCATCTATCTTCTTTTTCTATAAACGAGATTGAATGTATCATGGAGGAAAACGTCCCACATGACCTTGTTTTATTGGATGTATCTGGTCAAGTAGATAACTAATTGGACATCTAGTCAACTCAATTATTCTGTCAATTTTCTCCTAAACGAACGTTCAGCGAAATCTTCGATCATATCAGAGCACAACAAAGTGTATCGAGTCTTAGACACCATTGCTTCCTTCTCCTCGAGAAAAATTTGAGTAGACATTAGAGGTCACATTTGTTGCTGTAGGCATTTATTAATGTTTATAAGTAGAAAACCTAAAGAAGCATTGCTGTTACTCTGTCATGGACGTTAGATAAGTAACCAGTTGAAGGATTAAAACTCTACTTGATGGTTCCAATGTTTATCATAGCCATTTACTTTGACCTAATTGTAGTTATCGATCCTCGTGTCACTCTTTTTGATCGTAAGGATAAGGAAGGAGGTAATTACTCTTAAGGATTCTAACAGTCTAGCAAAACTGACATCAATGACCCTATAAAAACATGTCCAAACGAAAATCAAGGAATATTAACAAATATTTAATGAGTTTGATTCGCGTAATGAAATTTCCCTGTGAACTTTGGATTTTCTGTGGATGATATTTTAGAAAATTTATTCAGCGATAAAAGATCGCACTCCATTGATTTCTGTCTCGAATATAAGATAGTTATTATGGTAGTTCTATAGAAAGTATAAATTAGTATAGTTCGGATATTCAATTATTCATTACTATTCGTCTGTAGAGCGAAATTAAATGCTGGGGTATTGAATAAAAGATGAATTTTGTTATGTAAAGCACAACCTCTAATTGAAAAGATGGAAATTTAAGGTGGAAAATGGAAAATAATAAATTTTAAGCAAAGGGCATTGATTTGGTTTATGATGAATCATTAAATCAATCATAGGAATGAAGAAATGAAATGAAATGCGGTTTAACGAATTGTAATTATTAAATATGGATATCGGGCTCGGAGGAAGAATGCAGGGGTGGAAACTTCAACATAAGCGCTTCTTTTCACCTGATTATCCTCCAGATAACTATACTTTAATATGGTTCTATAGATTCTGTTGGGTGTCAAGTCATTTTAGTTCAATCGTTTCACAAAGACAAAATCTAAACTTGCAAAAACATTGACTCTGATATTACACCAACATGTATATCCACTTTATATTAATTAGGGCTTAGCGTCCTAATTGTCTACACTAACCGGTCATACGTCATGGCAGTGCGTTATGAGGAAGGTTTGGCCGAACAGCGGCGTTTTCATCTACTCTTCATCGAATTCCTACTATCAGTGCTTCTTATGCATGTACGCCAACGTGTAGACGGGATCTCGGTTTTTCGTTCCATTCCAAGAACTGGCCACTGTTATTTGCAAAACGCTCCTTCCTACACTACTAGAAACTGTCGAGGAACTTTCTACCCAACACTGGAATCAAACACCATTTGGGTTGTTTTATATTTGAATAGGGGGTGGGATCAGGCGTAGTCCATGTAAACAAAGAACACTCCCCGAGGTATTCTATATTGTAACCGCTGTTGTAAAACCATGTCCTTATTAACCTCACATTATTGCATGTACATCATACCGTCTAGAACTATGCAAGAGGGAAGGCGAGTTCACTAAGGACAAACACCAGAATCGAAGAAAATATAGTACTTTTTACAAGTTAATACACGCAATATCATCTCCTGGCAATATATATATTCCTTTATTTTTTATTTTTTATTGTTGTTAGCGATAATTAATTATGGCACACATGTATTATTCTATTATCACATATTTTGCAAAGTTCAAGAAACTCGTGGGAATTGAAATCTCATTATAATACTTAATAAGTGAAACCTGAGTTGAACGTACAAAACATGCTACTCTTTTGCAAGAGCTTTATTTTATTTGAGAGTAAGGAAATGTTCCTTTATTTCGTTTTTCCTAGAGGAATACTGTCCTGATGACGAAATCAGAACTATTTATTGTATAAAATTTGTTTAAATAAAGTGAGCTTGAAACAATAAAATTATAACCCGTGCCCGAATAAAAAAAACAATTGAATCTTGAAGAGATCAACCCAAGGGCAGGTGCATGGCATGTCATATGTTTGTTAATCTTACAAAATATGATATTAATAAATCAGATTATTAAAATTATTGACGGACTTCGCGTCCATCATGTCATCATGCTGCACACGGATTCCATTATGTGAAGTCAACTTAAGTGACCACGCCATACCGTGCAAGATAAATCTATTTCGCCACTCGTCACCCTATTTTTCTATGTAAAACTAACAATAATGTCAGCTGTGCAACAGTTGTTTATAGATAAAAAAAAATAGTTGAATAGAAACATGGTGAATTATTGTAAATAATAAATTTCATTAAAAAGAATCAATTAGTTATAATGGGTACGTGAAACCAAGCATTGAGTGGGAACCATCATTAAAAGGGCCATGAACAAATACGTGTGCGGTGGGTCGAATCAAACACCACAACTCACAATCGCTGAAGCGACAAAGCCATGGAGTTCGTTTATCATCTTTTGTTCAACTGCACATTATGTATTTGAGTAAGGCCAAAGTGGACTTGTAATGTTAAGAATGTACACATAAGAGAGACCAAACGTTTTCTTTTTCTTGGTAAATACACTGGTCATGTTTTCCGGTTACAGACTTGATGATACTAATCCTGTATACACATTGCATTTGTCTCGCGAGTTCTTGTGAACAAATTGATTCTTTTCTAGCTCTCAGTTTTCTTCCACTTTTTGCGTTCTTATTTTCCTAATCGTGTGTGCTAATTTATTATGCGTTCTAATATTAAGTTATATTCCTTTATTTGAAACTAATTTACCCCCTATACAGTGAAAGAGCTGCCGAGTCTCTGTTCTTCAGTATATCACATGATGCGCTACCGCTACCTTCCCCTCGTTTAGCAGACGATAACAGGTAACAAAAAAAAACATGCGCATTGAAGGAAATAATTAATGATAGAAATGACAGGTACGCGCATGCTCATCATACAAAGAGTATTGTATTATAGGGGAGCCAAAGAAAAAACGATCAATAAAAGAAAATATGTCAATTATTTTTTAACTGACATGATTGACGGTTTCAACGATGCTGTGCGCATGACAGTTTTGTCCCGCTGGCTGGTTTGTTACTCTATTGTATCCCAGCAGTCAATGCGATTAGTCAGCACTCAGTTTCAATAGCTTTACAGTTCATACTGGTAGGAGTATATTACAGTGAATAATCCATACTTGTTTCACAGAAATTTGTACGGACTATTTTGTCTAGTGTATAAAGCAAATATATCTACCTGTTATAAGTGTTAATATTCACAGGTAAGCCATTTTTCTTTTCTTTATATGCTCACAATTAATACGGGCAAGAGACAGACGGGTCCAATGGAAATGGAATATTTATGGTATGGAACGAAAAACACCAGTGTTCGGTTTCTCCAAGTATGGCTTGTTTGACAATACTAAGGATCAAAATAAGTCATTGTTTATAAAGCAACGGTGCATCTTCACCATTTCTGGCAAATAATAGCGCTATTACGATTTATTGCAAACTAGCTTCCAGGAAGACCAGAAAGGTAGGACGTTTACCCCCATTTCACTGCCAGGAAGGCGAATAAAACAATTGTATCTTGAAGATAATGTAATTTTAATCTCACGAACCTGGTTTAAGCTGAAAAAGATATACAGAGATTTCTGAAAGAAGTTTAAACAAGTGCGTCTGACCTGTATGGGCTTTGTTTTGTGTTAAGGCGAATGGAAACAGGGGATAACTCATAAATTATTTACCATATCGCTGGTCTTTCACACGGGCAATGTGTTGGTATGTTGTTGCTATTATTGCGGACATGATCAAAATTTACGAGACCACGGGCATCTGTCGCTAATATTATCTATAGAGACTCCAATACCGCCGAGGACATTCCCGGGCACTGTTTTTCTATGGTAATTCAATTGAAGTCACGTTCAGCCTACATTCAGACGAATGGTAGTAGCTACCACGGGAATAAATCTTGTTTAGAAATTGCCGAAGATTTTTTTACAAATCGCTATTTTTGGATATGATTATTTTAGAAGACAGGAATGTGGATTATGAATATCTTTAAAATCTTAGTTATTAAAAAGATACACATGGTTATCATAATCATACATTTTTAGATGATCAAACATCAAGTTGGAAAAGCCTCCTTTTCTCTTAATATTAGTATCCATACTCGAGAAAATTTCAATGACTCTAAAGAATAGTTGTCAAATTGACCGTCTTCATTCTGAGCAGAACAGAAGAACGTTAAACCCCATTTCATTTCATTTCTGTCAAATTGAACACTTGCCAAAATAACTGATTTGAAATAATAACATCGCTGGCATATTTTTAGACATATGTTTTACGATTGGGCGACATCCATGTGCTTTGTTTACAACTTTGGAACTTGACAATAAAATCGTATCTTTCCTTTTATATTTAGGAAATCGGTTTTAATGGTTATGCCTGAAAATTGTTATTGTAAATATCGCACGTTGTATTATAATATAAGAGAAGTCACAAGAGACTAGATGGTTGGCATTCTTCGTCCTCTTGGACATTCTGCCAGGTGAAAAATGCTTTGATGTTACCTGTAAGATTTGGGCTGCCGTGAATCTTCCTGCGGTTAGTCTTCTATCTTCTTTCATGTGTCATTAGCTGAACAATTTGAAGATAAGATGATTCAAGTCTTTTTGCGGAAAGCTATCTTTAAAACCTTGAGTTGGACTTGATGGAAAGCAAATAGTTATTAACGGCAATAAACATGACGCAAATATCTAAAATTGGATGGGTTTGTTATATGAAGAAGACCTCGGCTAATCGTTGTATTTCGTTTTTCCTGTGGGTTCTACTCTACATAAATATTCTAAGACGTTTATTCGTTTGATCATTTGGTATAATAGCAAGGACTTGAATATTTTCACTTACGGTTTTGTTGACTTTTATCCTGTCCACTGATTTAAACACCATAAAATCGGAAAAATTACTCTTTCAAGTTATTTATGGGTGTCTATTTAAAACAAAAGTGTGTATATGTACTGTTTATCAATAATATATATTTGTTAATCGGCTTGGCCTATTGCTATTTTTGTCAACAGAGTACGGACTTTTTTAAAATAGAAATAGAAAAATAAACAAACTGCACTTCTCATATTTATTACATCGCTTTTGAAAAGTATCCTAATAATACTTTAGGTTTAAGTAGAATGCACACTAAGTTTTTTGTGCTTTGAACATATAAATATGTCGAAATATTGATCAAAAAAATGGGACATTTAGAATCAAAGAAGTTTAATTACCCTAACCAAATTAATACTTCTGATTTCAAAGTGCATTTATTTGTAGCAGAATTGAAACGCGTCATCCTTTTCTTTCTTTCTCAAGATCGGGAAAGACTTTTACGAGTTATTTGAGACAGAATTCGGCACTGCTTGACATTTTTAATGCGTTATTCGTCAGTGCATTAACCCTATGAAGTTGTTCATATTAGCAGTAATACCTTAATTCAGCACATGTCTGTACTGTTTGCTGATGCTTGCGCTGTCAATTCTTTAAAAGATGTAATGTTCTGAACTAGAAAATGGTGGATATATTTTAACCCGGATATACAGTCTGGGTTGAAAGTAAACAAGATGAACAATTTTCACCGTTTGGACGAGTTAAACAAGAACCATATTGATCGCCATGTTTGAAAAACAAACATCGTACCTTTCAAATACAAGTATTACGGTAAAACATTGATTTTTCGCGTTTGAGCCACGAATTGGAGTTTCTTTGTATTTTTCTAATATTATTGTTAGATTCCTGTGCCGTTCTAAAACACTATTTTGAAGAAATTCGAGACAAAGCCATTGCTGAAGTTCGCAGAAAATTGTTTCCGAAGTTTCTGCATTCTTGTTGATCGTTTCTATAGACAATAAACTTATATTAACTGAGTTTTAATTTTTAGCGGTTTTACTTTTACCCTTTCCCGTTTGTAAATTGCATATATACTTTTGTGCATACCTATGTCGGATATAACATAAAATCAATTAAAGGAGCCAAGTCGCCAACTCAATATCATCCACAGTCTTCGACATTTTGCAAAGACGACTTCTTGGCCAATTTAAATTAACGTTGATGTTGTTATCTTACCGTGAAAAGACGGGCTTCTGATATCCAATATTTACGACAAATGAACATATTGGTATACGAATCGTGTGCCAGAATGCTTTCAAGTGCTATTTTGTAATAAAGCGACTTGATGAACGGGGCTAAACATACCCCACAGGAGAATGCTACAGGTGTAGACTGGAATAACCAAACGCCAAAGACTCCCATTCAATTCAATTGCCGATCATAACTGATTAGAAATTACAGTAAAAACAGAAACAATTGAATGTAAATCTGTTTATATACATTCATTATAAATTATTATATGCGTTGCGGCCCATTTGTATCCATTTCTAGGTGCCAAAAATAGCCATTTAGCTTCTTTAAAACGTACTTTTTTTATTGAACCAATCTATCAATGGCCGAAGTCATTACGATAACCGAGAATAACACGAGTTATTGAATTTTGTGATGTTTCTGTGCTTAATGACCGATATTATTAATTGATGATTCCAGCAAAATCAAAAATTCATATTTCGTTATGAAAATGGCCCATTAATATTTGAGAGCATCACATTATAGAGAATATAATTTAGGTCGTTTATTAGGTTAATGGCTTGGCTTTGTTATGTTCTGGCATTGGTAATGTATGATTCCGCCATAACTCAATGTGTTTGATCTATAACCGTGTTATATTAATAATTTAATAAATAATATAGTTCAGTAAGTGCCTATCTGGTTCGTTATATTCGTGGTATGCTATATCACTGACGATGCTTTTTGGTTAATGAATATAACATACCTGTTCTTTGAAGGCATTACCAACATGTGTTATATTATATATTGATGACACTGATAAATAAGTATATGTTGTGTATAATGTTACAATGCATGTATATTATGTAATGATTATTCCCGGGGGCTGTGTGTTATAGATACAGGGGTGTTTGTAATTCATAGTCTGATGTTTAGATAGTGTTTACAATGTCGATAATATATATCGATGGTTATAAAAACCAGTTATCGATAAGGCTATCGAATTAATTTTATATACAAATTTCAAAGAATATATCTCATTCAGATCTCTTAAACATACATTATGCAAGAGCTAGATCTACCTATTGCAGGTCTTTCTTGGGGCCTGAACTATTATACAAACTATTAATTAGACATTTATTAACATGACAAGACCAAAATCAGCTCTTGATGCCATCTGATGGGTCCGAGTCTCATTAGACTTAAGGGGGTCGAATGGTTAGCACGTACGCGCTGTATCATGAGGCTTGTTATTGAGTCAACTGGCGTGGTTTCGAATCCCCGGTTGTACGTGACAAGGAGTAGGGTCGCCTGTCCAACCTCGTGGGTTTTCTCCGGGTCCTCCGGTTTCCCCCCACTGCTAAAGACCCCGACGCGCAAGCGAATTATTGAACTAAAATTAAACCATATTATTATGTTAGTCCCGAAATGACCTAGTTTGTGTCGAGTGGACGTTAAACCCCATTTTTCTCTCTCTCTCTTTCATTAGATTTGAACCGATCTGCTGTTCAACGGCCATTGGTGATTAACCGCAACAAGGAATAATCGAGACTTTGTTTATTATTGTAACACCGGTAATAATGACGATCGAGGCAAGCCTAAAATATCTAGGTTCAGAGTGAAGCAAATGACTAAAATTTTCAGCATATTCTCTTTTCATTATCTATTTTTTAACTATTATTAGCTAGAACTGTCAGCTCTTTATCTAATCTTAACTAATGCCTTTTTAAGTTTATTCCGTTTTTATGTACTATTCCTGAAGTTTGGATGGTATCTGAAATAGTCTCCTCGTGTTATTTAGTGACGAATTTACTCGAATTTGTCATGTGTAACATTTTGGGTTGTTTTTTTTATTATCATCCCAAGAATAGTTAATATCCATGTTTAGTATGTTGTAAATAATTCACAATTTTAATTTAGTACGTAGTGTAACGGCGATGGGCGTGTATAGAAGGTAGTATTTCGTGGGTGCTACCTGTGGAAATTCAATATTTCACCTGTATATATATATTGTAAATCTATATTTAACGCTGACGGAAAATCTTGTTTTAGTATGGTTGTTAAACAGATAATGTTGGTTGGTAGGTATAATGTTCGTGTTGCTAGAGGCACTGTTTTGCCCTGGTGGAGTCATAAAGATTATATCGGGAAAATATTGGAGACTATTTGACGT